GCTCACTTGACTCAGTTATCTTTCTTTATCTCTCTATTTGCAATTTCTTTTGCCGGGCTTATATATATATATATATATACTAAAATAGAGGGCGTCTGGCAAACACTCGGGCTTTCATGATCCTTATTCGGTGACGACAATAAAATAAAGCCCATCTTTACTACACTGATAATCCATTGAAACAAATTCACACCTGATAAAAACAATAAAGAAATGAATCCCGTATTGTACATTTTTCGTTATCGTTTTTCTTCAATTGATGCGGTGATGCCATGACAAGTTGTACTAAACATTAAAAATTTCTTCAAACTGATGTGCAAACGGTTTTCCAGATATACTAGCTTGAATGTAAAAACTTTGCGTAAGTTTTAATTTTTGATAATTGTAACAAGAACTGACCTATATAGACATTATTCACTTACAACTTACTTAAAATTTATATCAGAGTTATTTTGGAATAACATTAGAAAGGGTAACAATTCGTTTATAAACTACACATAGAGCTGTAGTTGCGATACGTGTGTGAAGTTAGCCAATATCTTAAGTTGGGCGCTTAAGCCTAATGATTAATCCGGCTTCTTGACTAACCAAATAACAATTAATACCTCAGGGCAACGAATCAAAGTGGTTTATTTAAACTGACTAATCTGTCATGATAAAATGTTTCGTCTGAGTGAAACGCAAACTGTTATCAGTTTTAAAGTTGGATAAATCAACTTACTGATATTAGAAAAGAAATAAGAGGTTCTATAAATTAAATCTTCACACCAACATGAAATTTCGTAAATGCACACACAAAGCAGATATTAAAGGCGGAGGAGCGGGCCCCCATGAAATTGTAGAGTTTCTTTACATTTCGTAAAATTATATATCATCCCTCCCCCAAGTTAAGAAATGTTGAAGCCGGGTCTGTACACACACTTCATACAAAAGTGATGTTTACAGATGATCACTACGTCACCAATACACATCAATGTTCTGAGAATCTACAGAGGATTTTACGAACAATGTTACCTCATCATTTATAGCTAGATTCAACAAGTAATGATGCTCACACTCCAACAAAGAAGTTATACTAACGCAGTCCTCCTCTAGTTCATTCTAAGAAGAAAATAAAAAAAAAACGGCTAAAAATAGACTGTAAAATTAAAGTACAGGTTTCAATTGACCAGAAAAAAATATAGGCTTTTCTGCCTAACTTCTTTGGCAGAGTCCTACAATGTCATAAAATCACAATATTATCTGGAGCAAAACGCGATTCTTAAGAAGTTTCAGGCTTTACAACGTTAATATTTGGGACTTGGTTTCCCAGGGTGAACAGAGAGCATACAGTCCATTGTGTAGCTCAGCTCTAAAAAAAAAACAGATTATAGTAAGAACGACTGGCAAACTAATGACGAAAAATCAATACCAGTTAGAATCCAAGAAGTATTACTAGCAATAGATTCATTCGACGGGAATCGAAGTTTAATGACGAACAACAGGACGATGGCAGCAACAACGAACATTTGACACGTGTATGTTCGGTAACAAACAATTAATTCTTGAACGTTTCGGAATATGCATATTCCATCTTCAGCAAGCTATATTGAACATGGTAAATTATATAGGTACTGTTGTTCATCATCAAGAAGTATCTCATTGAAATAGAGCGAAAAATAGAATTTTTGGCACTGATTCAGGTCAACAAAAGCAAAATAGCTGTCCAGAGCAGATGCTGTTTTGTACAAAAAATACTTTTGCATATGTGAATAAGATTATTACAAAAAGTTACTTTATAATGTTTTTGCCGATCTTTTTTTTTAATTTCCAGCTCTTTTAACAGATCCAAGTATAAAAATCGAGGTACAGGCGTTCTTCACATATGCGCAATACATATTAAGCCATACTGGTGCGGTAAGTATCCAATAATAAAGAAAACTTTCTGTCTATCTGTGGACGCATCTCCTTCTAAACGAGTCGACTGATCCAGACCAAACGTGGCATGCTAACTTAAGAGTTCTAAACCAAACCAACTTCATGCTAAACTTTCCCATATATATAAAAATAAAAACATGTTATAGAATAACCCGTATATCATTACTGCAATAGCCATTGTAAATATTAGTTCGTCAATAAATTAATGTCGCTTTTTTTTTAGATGAAAAACCCGAACAACTTATATATCG